GATAGAAATATATCGGTAATAAATAATTCTGTCGAAAATTTCAATTATTGAGATATTTGGATGTATTAAAAAGATCTGCTGAAATATTGAAAAATTTATCTAACTGCAGATCAGAAAATAATTATCGAATTATCAATTTAACTATGTAGGGAAATGAAGCATAATAAAGAATGCTCTAAAAACTTTGATATTCTAGCTTGAACGTTTTATGTCATTTTAATAAACGAGAAAATGATAAATACGAGTCAAACGCGGTACTTGAGAGAGATGCGCAATAATAAATTAACACAAATTAGTTAAAAGTCGTAAATATAATTAATTAAGTCGTATGTTTCAACTCATTTTTCGAACCATCTTCAGTTTGTAATCAATTCGCTGAAAATAATAACTGATGGTGCCTCGTATATATTTGTTTTTTTTATTTATTATTTATAGGATTTGCGAGTTGTATTATATTTTCTCTAAAATTATTTTAATAGTTCAACAAAATTATTTTCACATCTATATCTAAATTTTTAGATATTCAGCATGTTTTCCGTGCTTATATAATTTTTAATGCAAGTAATAATATTATTAACTTATTTTTAAGAAATGAAAGAATAATGAGATCGAGAAAGCTATCGACTTTACTAATCAATAGAATAATACTCTATTAATATTCAGAGTAGAGTTTTAAGCTTAAACTTTGCGTAATACAGAATTTAAAAAATTCCGATAATAGAAGTAATAATTGTCGATAACATTGAAATTATCGATAATAATTTTTTACGCTATCTTTTTTATTGTAATGAATATTAATTTAAAAAAATTTGTGATTCGTATGTATGATTTTTGTATTTTTTATAGATACAAATATATATTACTATAGATTATCATTTGATATTTTATAAAAATTACTGCCGTTATATTTTGCAATCGCCTTAATGGAACTATATTAGAATGTATAATAATGAACCGAATGTATCACTCTAGATTTTGGAAAAATGTAAAAATTACCGATATATGTATATATCATAAAGTCCAATAGATGTATATTAAGTGCAACTACTAAATTCGCCAAAATGACAAGCTACTGAAAGGCGCAGCATTCACCAAAGATTGCAATGTTCGAGGTATTTTCGAGCCAAGCCAATAAATTTTATTTCAACGTCAATATCGTTTCTAGCGCCGGCGTTAAATATCGCGGACAGCATTGGCAAGCTCGAGACAGGCAATAACGGCAGTTTGTAGCCCTACATATGCGCTTTTACCCAGTACCTAACAACCTTAATAGCCCTGTAGCACAAGAATAGCGGCGCGTGGCGACGCGACGGCCAGCATGACACAAAAGTCATCGATGACAATACCCGCGCGGTAGTAATGGAAATGCCATCGCGCGCGCGAACGCCAACCATCCTGACAATCAACCCAGCCGACGACGCGACGCGACGCGACGGTGGGACTATGACGGCGCGCACAAGGGGTGGCACGCGGGGTGGGTGAAAGCCGGCATGGTTGGGCATCGCAGCGGGGGGTGGTGGTAAGAGTTGACGTCGGTGGTCGGGGGCTGATATCTAGCTAAGCGCTGGCGCAGTTGGGTCGCGGTCTCCACCACGGCAGCATTTCGCCCACCGGTCTCTTTACGCACCTATCTCCCTCTCGCTCCCTACCCCCTTATCGTCCCTACCTACCCCGCGACCTCTTCGCACGACCTCTCGTTGTACCCCTCCACCCCACCTACTCGCCCTTTCGCGAACGGTGCATGCATATACGACACCGGGTGCATAACACCCTCTGCGTCCTTCCGTTGCCTCCGGGTGATGGTGTTCGCGGCGTGTGATGCGTTAGTGTAAGTGCGGCATGATGAATGAACGGTATTTTAGAGGGACGGAAGTGGCGCGCGGTCCTACCTAGCCCTTTCGCAACGATCGTACGTCACCCACCGGCGACACAGAATCCTCGCGAAGATGTGCCTCGCGCGAGAGCTGCAGTCGCCCACGTGGAAGTACGGACCAGCTGCGCTGGAAGGATTTAGTGACGCACCGGTACTCTCTCTGTGATTGCGCGAATCTTGTCACTCGGTCGTTCATTCATAACTGATAAGAGCGAAAAGGTGTGAAGACTACTCCACGTGAAGACAGATTTGTGAAATCTGTTCTCTTTCTCTCTCTCTCTCTCTCTCTCTCTCTCTCTCTCTCTCTCTCTCTCTCTCTCTCTC